GCTGCATTGACCATGACGGTCGCGAATAGCGCGTCTCGCGTCTCGTGGTTCGACCGTCACATGTTGCTCCTGGTCAGAATCTTCGTCGAATACGAAGCCTGTACGCACCACCACGCGACGACAACGCCGCTCTCGTCACTCACCCACACAAAGTCTCCTTCCTCGATGGATGCGGTTTTCTTGACGCTGTGGCGCACTTGGCGTGATGGACGAGGAGACGCCTGGGTAGATGATTGGTCGCTGCTGAGGCGGAGGCTGCCAGGGCGTTGCTGCCCATTGCCGGCGCTACGGTGGCTGCGGCGCGGGCCGCCTGCGTCCGAGCTCATTGCACTCTCCCCTGTCTGACTTCTCGCGTTTTGCCAAATAGCTGCCGATTGGCAGAAAATAGTACCGTATTTATCATAAACAGCAGATGGCGCTAAATGGCTCCATTTTATCAAACTGCACTCAAATCTCACGAGCGGACAGCTCACTGTAGCCGTAAAAACACTGCATCAGAGCATCTCCAGCGGTAGGCTCTAACGATGGTTTTATCCCAAAAGTTGCGCAAATAAATCTCTCGACAAGTTTTTTTGCCCCACCCGTTGGTGGTATTATTAGTTTTAACTTCAGGAAGACTTATATTTCTGGTCCAAGGACTTTATATAAAACCTCAGTCTAACGAAAGGAAACTTTCGATCTCAGCACCGACACGGAAACTTGCAGTACGATGGGGAAGGGCTTAGCGTGGAGTGAGAGCGAGACCATACAGCTTTGCCTGTCGTGGCTGGAGGTATCGGAGGACGCAGTGCGTGGTGCAGGACAGAAGAAGAGCACGTTCAGCAGTCGCTTGTACAGCCACTGGCTGGAAAACAAGAGACCAGAAGACAAGGATCCACGAACGGAGGTCGCGATAATGGGGCGATGGAAGAAACTGCAGCCAGAAGTAACGAAGTTCTGCGGTATATATGCGAAGGTCACCAGCAGAGAGCGATCAGGATGGAATGACGCTATGTATCTGGACGCCGCGTTGAAGGTTTACCAAGAGCGACGCAAACAGCCGTTCGAGTTTCTTGCGGCGTGGAAGGAGCTCAAGGACAAGCCCAAGTGGACCAACAAGATCACTTCGGCCTCATCTATTGGAGTCAAGCGAGGAACAAGTGACGTTGCGTCTTTGGAGAGACCAGAAGGCCGCAAAGCAGCAAAGGCGGCTAACGCCAAAACTAATGAGAGTCATGGAAGTGCTGGAGCTCAAACGATTGGGGGTGAAGCTCACCTTAGGTTCGTTGTTGCCACAGAAAAGAAGGTCGCTGTGATGGAGCAAAGTCTCCATCTATCTATCTTCTTGCAGAATCCCGCTAGCTACGAATCACAGGAATATTTTACTATGCAGCGAAAAACCATCCTCGCCAACATGAGGAAGACACTTGCTGTTTCACAAGAGCGCCAGCAGTTACAACAAAGCGAAGAGCTAAAAACACCTGAGCGTTCGTTCATGGAACCGCACGTGGCAGGACTACATAATGACGAGGGTGAAGAAAGTGAAGTTGCTGACAATCAAATCAGTACTTTAATTTAGCTGGGCTTCTGCACGTAGTCTAGCTTAAAAACCTACTACACAGGATCCAGAGAAAAGTTTTGCTAGCCGAGATCACCGTAGCACTGCCATACGTGTTCGATCAAATCCGTTTTTAATTCATAGTGAAGCTCTTCGTCTTCAAGCACTTGCATCGCGTTTGCTATCATTGCGACTGGGCACTCATCTGGTACACCAACTTCTGCCGGGCTGACCCATTCATCTTCAAACAGGTACTGATGATTTAGCGAGGTAATTCGCTGCTCGTCTTCCACAATCATGTTATGGAGGATGATGCATGCTAGCATTACATCATTCATTGCATCGACACTCCATAGTTTACAGGGCAGGGCAAGAATTCGAAAGCGTTGTTGTAATACTCCAAATGTGCGTTCAACGTCTTTGCGAGCGGCTTCCTGCTGGGCAGCGTAACATCTACGCTTGTTGCCTTGGGGCGCACTGATACTGGATTGGAAAATTGCCCAGGCAGGATAAATTCCATCTGTAAGATAGTATCCCTGATTGTACGTCGCGCCATTCACAGTGAAGGAAATCCTGGGAGCAACACCGTTTACCAGGTCATTCAACAAAGGTGAACGCTCGAGTACATTCAAATCATTGTTGGCGCCAGGCATGCCATAGAATGCATGCCAAATCCATAACGACTTAGAAGCCACGGCTTCCAAGATCACCGTCGAACACTTCTCTTTTCCCTGAAAAGCTCCTTGCCATGCCGTTGGACAATTCTTCCATGTCCAGTGCATACAGTCCAAGCTACCAATCATACCCGGAAATCCGCGCTCAGCATTCTCGGCAAGAAGTATTTTCAAGTCATCCTTGGTCGGCTTTCGAAGATACTCTGGACCAAATAATCGGATAATATTTTTGCAGAACAGCTTTAAGGTCTCCAACACTGTGGACTCAGCCATACGAATCAACTCATCTAATTGATCTGCTGATGCTCCATATGCCAACATCCGTAAAGCACACGTCACCTTCTGTTCTGGTAGGAAACCAGCACGTCCAGTTGCGTCACTACGCTGGACGAAGTAGCTGCATTCTTCATCCTCAACCAGGGCAATGATAATGAGCTCAAAGAGGTTACGACGCATACGAAATCGCCTGCGGAAGTCATCTGCATCAGAACGAGTAGCCATGAGCATTAATGGACAGTTTTAAAGGAGAACATGTCGTTTACTCAAATACATACCATCATCGTAGACTGGGTTGTCGCCAAAGTAGTCACTCATTAGGCGTTCACCCCATATTTCTCGATCCCGCTCTTTATTTGCTCTCCTGCCTTTGGTGGACCCGCCGTGTTTGCCCCGCACTGCGCTCGTGTTGTCCACCCCGCCCTCAGGCAACATGTAGGTGAAATAGTACTCTTCTTCCGAGTCGTCGTCCATACTTGACGTCGCCAGCAGTGCTTCACTCCTTCGTGTATTTCTGATAGTGCGGTATCGAGAGAGATCTTTTGTATCGTCGTTTGATTGGACAAAAAAATGTTAAGCCGCGGTGAGTTCCAAACCGCTGTAGACAAGATGCAATCAGGAGTTCTATCCAAAAAATTGAGGTCTCATCCGTCTCAATAGGACTTGCAAATAAGTCTAACCGCTGGAGATGCTCTAAGGGCGTGTTCGCGTTGTGCCTGGAGATGGAGATGGTCCCATCTCACTAAATACGTCTAACAATTGATTGGCCGAAAACCATTTGTTACAACTGCACAACTGGAGATTAGAGGTGATATCCTTCTCCACCTATTGGAGGTGGAGACAGGAGACGGAGGTAGAGACGAGAGGCTCACAATTTGTTATGGAGGAGGACATTGAAAACGTTTTGCTAGCTGTGTGTGCTGCAGTAGGACAAGCGGCTGTGCTACTAGCCACCGACGACGAACCCGCCACTAA